GACTTCAGAGGACGTTACATCAGATTGGCTCATATCACAGTATTATGGTGCATTTAATTCACCCCGGTAAACTGCTCACAGAAAAGTACATCAATAACATTAAAAAGTCATTTTGGAGCTGTCCAGGTGCTGAAGTCAGGAAATATGACGATATTCAAATTTCCACTGCCATCAAAACAAATATGTGCTTCACAGGAAACGGTGAGAGAGAGAGAGCAGAGTGTGAGTGTCGCCGTCAAAGACACGCCGATGACATAATTGGTACAAAAACAATAAAAGCCAAGGTTTACGTTCAGTTAAAATGATGGGTTGCCATCCTTGCTTTGATCTTAGCTCCAATGACCTGAGAAGTGCTAATTACAACTTCAGAGGGCGGCGTGATTGTCGCTAACCGCACATGCCTGCCAGCTCTGACTCTAAAATGCAAATGAAGTAAACCTTTACGTATTATGTAGTTGTACTACTGTCACTCATTGTCATGAGTTTTCTAATCAGAGATGTTATGTGAAATCTCAATACTTTTTTCAAATATAATCTCCTCCTGGGTGAAATCTCAATACTAACATAATATAACATAACATAATATAATATAATATATGCTTTTTAAATTTTATGGTAAATACATACATTCTTATATACTGCAGTATTGTAACAAAGTCCTCTTTTATTATATATATTATATATATTTATTATATTACTACACCATGCTATAGGCTATTACAAATTGCTATTGATACTTATATACTAATACGCTATAGGCTATTACAAATTGCTATTGAACTACTATAGAAATACTTTGCTGTACTATGCTATTTAAATCTTGATATTTAATCGGTCTTAAAAACATTCAGTAATAGTTTCTTCCCATTAACACCAGCTGTTGACTGTGACCTTTGAGACATTGTGACTCACCTTCTGACCGTCCTGCCTTCTTTCCGCTGCCTGTATCTTATATAATCTGTACATGGACTGAAGTATTGCGACCTTCCTTTCACTTTAAGTTTTGTCGTAGGAAAGTTGAAAGGCCACTTATGTAGGTCATCCTACGTGCCTCATCTTTGTGCCCAGAGTTTTTAATGTCGTTTCTACAGCATTGGCCATCTCCAAGTCAACCTGATCAATTCACTTGGACATAAAGTCTGGTCTAATTTGACTGATTCTCTGTGTCCACTCAGCTGTTAAAAACCTGTGTGTACAGCCTGGCCTTTCTTTTCATACATTTACTGTATGTACAGCAGAGGTCATACATGTATGCATACACCACCGTTCACCGCCGCTGCCATCACTGTACCGTACGCACTGGTATGTGTGCATACATGGATGTGTGGTCTTGAGGCGGAGAGTTGACGTCTCGACTTGCGTAGCATAGGTTCCAGCGGGCTGGGGAGATGTCGGGCAGTGTGCCAGGAAGGCCAAGGGAACTGTGAGTGTGCGTGCAGCGCACACCTCATCCTCTGATCTCGGGGGACATCTGCTCTGGTCCAGGTCACTGGCAGCGAGCGCTCAGCCGGGCTCAAAAGTATCACCAAGGCAACTGCATCACATAATCCCATTCCATCTCATCCCATCCAGTAACCGTGTGCGATGTGATTGGTCTGCACCCCCCACTCCCTCCCTGCACCCCCCGGGGCGCTGAGGCGACAGATCAGGCGGCTGCTGCTTACTCGCTGTGTCAGCTACAGGTCTGAGTCCGTGGGCGGGAGGGGGCCAAGCAGTGAATTAAAGGAACATTTGGCACATTTTGGCCCGAGACCTGTGAATTATGCAGGCGCTCCCCTACTGTGTGTGTGTATCTCTGTGTGCAGCCATTCCACTTTAAGTCCTTCATTTGGGGAGAACAAGCTCCTCCAAGCAGATAATTCCCGTTTGGCTTAGTCTGTCAAATTTTTTTCCCAGGTGTTGAAAGTTCACATCTGTCCTCTTTAAAGTGTTTACCGGCAACACAGCCCCAGTACTGCTGCGGTCACTACCTCTAAATGTGTTTGTATCATCGCCGTTATGTTTCCCTAAATTCTACACACTTCCTGTCCAGACTTCAAAATAAAATATCAGTTTATATACAGCTAGTCTATATATGTAAATTGGTTCCAATAACTTTGGGGTTTTTTTCTGTTTTTTCAGCAGACAAATTATCTAGATTGCAGGCAGAGCAGTCTAGATAATTGTGACAGTGATTCTTCAAATTCTTCTCACAGTTGCATGATTCCATCTGACTGTGATCATTTCCAAACAGACTTTTAACTCTGAAATTTTAACAGGTCTAGGCCTCGGTTCTGTGCTGCATCGCTGAATTTTGGTCATACTTTAGCCTTTAGGCCAGGGGTTCTCAAACTTTTTCTACTCTGTACCACCTGAGAAAACACTGATCTCTCTGAGTACCACCATGATGACCAACATTAGAATACAGCAGCAGAGGCCTTCACTGTTATCTTCCAACACAGGAGAGATGTTTATAAAGATGTTTATGTTTAAATGGTGTATTAATTGCACATGGTATGTTTCAGATTTATTCAATTGAAAATGTAAATGTGAAAATAGGAATTTTCCTTGCGTACCGCTAGAGAGCGCCCATGTACCACTGGTAGTACGTGTACCACAGTTTGAGAACCACTGCTTTAGGGGATGCTATTTGTTTTGATTCTTAAATGGTGTATTAATTGCACATGGTAATGTGCTCGCGTACCACTGGTAGTAACCACAGTACCACAGTTTGAGAACCATTGCTTTAGGGGATGCTATTTGTTTTGAGTCATCATGATTCATTCATGATTAAATGTGATTAATCCACAGCTACCCTGAATAATCGGATCAAAAATCTCCTTTGACTCTAAACCTAAACTGTTGCTTGTTAATAATGTCATTTATCGATGATCATTATTAGTAGTTTCTATGAAATACATGGTCCAGCAACTTCTTCTTCATGTAGTTTCCAACCTAACGTGTGGAGTGGAGTGTGTGGCAGCAGACGTGTAAACACGATACTTTAATCATCCCGAGTTAGACACAGAAACCATCTTGAAATAATCCAAATCACCACACAAAAAAACATTTCATTGTCTCCCATCAACTTTCTTCCCATCACCCCCTCCTCCCCCCTGCCCCCTCCCTCCTCATCTATCACCAACATTCGCTTTCATCCGTCCTTCTATTCTCCGTGTTGTTTGTCTGCCTTCACCTTTCTCTCTCCCCGCTCGCTCAGCTCTCTCGCACGCCCCCTCGTCTTTGCTTTGCTGCAGAATACAAACATGGTATGAATTAAAACACAACTGACAGTCTGTATCCACTCTCTTTGCTCTTCCCATGATTCCTCCCTCGCTCACATACCTCCCCACTTTCATCCCTCCCTCTTTCCTCCTTTCTCCCGCTCCAACTGTCAGGAGGCTTCATTATTAAAGATTCATGGTGGAGTCTGGGCAGCTCCTCCAAAAGCTTTTGTCAGACAGACTGAGTCTCAAATCCCACTGCCATTAACAGGAGGTGACATAACACACACAAACACACACACGGACCTTGCAGTTTACAACAGTATTTACTTCACTGCCCAAAGCTTTTGATGTATTTTGCATTTTCTTAAAACCTGGATGCTTACTATCCTAAAAATAGAGAACATTAATAAAACAAATAAATCAATAAAAATAAAAAAAACAAACCCTCCGCTGCTTCTTTGCCCCATGTGATGTTAATTAAAATACAAAATGAAGGCAGGGCCTGTAAACTTAATAGAGTTTAATTTTATTTTGGCCAAGGCCCAAAGACCTTTTCCCAGATGTTGACTTATAATCTATAATTCAGAGTCGGTCCGCCCGTCATAATTGAGATTCTGTGCTCTCAATTTTTAATGGTTTCCATCCATCCATCTTAATTTTTGATGACAGATTTGATCCTCCTCGTCATGGATGATACAAATCTTGCAACAATCTGTGCTGAGATGCGCTGCCATGATTCACAGATGATGATGTTTTTCTTCCTGGCGTCTCTTCCTCTCCTGCTGGAGAGGTTTGCTTGTTTCTACCTTCTGCTTTCACAAAGTTTTCGGCTGGATTGAAACCAGGGAACAGACTTGGCCACGGGATCGTTTATATTTTGTCAGTGTTTGTATGTTTTTGCGGTGTGCTGGGGAATATCCTGCTCAAATTATGTGCCACAGGTGCCGCTACGTTTGTCAGCCCCTTGAATTCACACAAAGTCCTAGTAATTGATCTAAAATGATTCTGTCCGGTTTTGGTGGTGAGTTTGTCAGATGAAAAAGAAACCTGTGTTTTTTGCAGTTGTGAACGAAGTCCTAAACACTGGTTGTTGGAGCTGAGACATAAAAAAAAAACATTACACCTTATTCTGATAAGCAGACAAAATAAATGAAGCACTTATCTTAGTTAGTTTCAATGCTATGGGAATCACCTTCAGCAAATTCCTTTCCATTCTCTTATGAACGTTCCATGAATGTATTGCTAACACTGCCAGGGAAAACAACAAACAAGGTTGTCCCTGTTGTTGGAAACTTTCACAAATGTGGTCTTTATTTTCCTACTGACGTCTTACAGATTATAAACTAGAAACTCTAACCAGAAACTGAAACATAAAAAAAGCAGTTCAGAGTTCAGGTACATGTGATGTGATAAATATAAATGTTGTCCTGATCAGTAACATGGTGAAGAGTTTGAACCAGAGAAAAAAAGAAGTAGGTTTGCAAGAAAATTCCACCAGGGGGCATTTTTTAACTTCTGAAGTTCGTTTTTCTTAAATATAATTCTTGAATGTAAAATATTTGCACCTTTTACCAGTACCATGGTATTTTTTATTTTATTTTAGCTATAGTAGACCTTAATATCTGGTCCACATTAATGGTTCCATAATACATTTAAAACACTCACTAGTCCCAGTCAATCCAAGCTAGTTTACTGGTGCTACAAAAAAAAGGACAGTGATCAGATCTAAAATGTCCATTTTCTTCTTTATGTCAAACTTTTCTCCTGATTCTATGTTTGCTCTTGTTCACACAGAAAAGCCCAGGAGCAGCAGAAGAAGGTGGTGGTTGCTGGTTGTGTTCCCCAGGCTCAGCCACGTATGGATTACCTGAAAGGACTCAGCATCATCGGGGTATGTACTGTGTCTTTCTACATGTATGTATATGTATGTATTTATGTATGTATGTGTTTACATCTACATATGTGGGTTTATGGTGTTGTTTTGCTGAGCTGTTGTTTGTACTTTAACAGTAGCTGGGCTTGCATGTTGTAGTAACTGCTGTGCTGGCTTGTCACAATACAATGGGTCGTGGTGTGTCTGATGAAATGGGTTGCAAAAGAGGTTTTTAACCTGCACCCTGAACCACACACACACACACATCAGATGTTTTATTGAATTAGCTCAGGCTAAATTGTCGAAGCAACATGTTAAGTTTTGCTGGGAGAAGCTACATTCGCTACGATTTGACAGTATTTTTTTATGAGCAATGCGGGCCAGGACTTGAAGTCTTAAGAGCCTGAGGAGTGTGTACAGTCGGTCAGACATGCAAACACACACAGACACTGATGGATTGACCTGTTATTCACCTTGTTGCCGCCCCGCTGTGTCGGTTCTATTCTGGACTCCCTGCTGCTCGCTGGATCAATACACAACCCTGGGAGACAAAACTCCAGACGGCGCAGATGAACCGGTTTGGAAGAATCGAAAAGAAGAAAGAAAATGGTATCAAAGGAGAGAGAAAAGTTTTTTGGTGGTATGGGATACAAAGAGAAGAGACGAGAAAAGACACGGAGGGATCGGTGGGTGTGAAGAGTCTTTGTGTTGATGAATTTATTATTTTTAATCAAAATGTGAACCAAAACATGTCCACGAAAGACAGTGAGTCTGTGGCGATGTGGGGCAAAATATAAGAAGTGAACCTTAGTACAGAAATGACAAGTTCTTCACTATTATCTCTACAGTAATGACTAAAACATGTTTGCTTCTAGTGTCTGCTTATGCTTTATCATACAACATGGATAAGGACGAAGAGGTTAGAGTTGGGTGTGGCACAAAAGTACTTAATGACCTCCCCTCCCCCTTCATTCATGTAAAATAGAAATGTTGTTTATGCTAACTCTACATTTGATTAGATTTGGAATTAGAGAACTAAAATTGTCCGTTACCCATCATGCATTTGTTACAAACACACAGAATTTGACCTCTGCATTTTACCTTTCCAGTACACACTAGTACTGTATAGACCTTGAGACAACCATACTGATGTGGCGCTCGCAGTACACACTAGTACTGTATAGACCTTAAGACAACCATACTGATGTGGCGCTCTGGTGGGCCACATAAAATGACATGATGGACGGGATTCGGCCCATTTAACAGTGCCTTATTTGGTGACTTAAAAGAACTGTTGTTTACAACAAGTCAACCTCAGTGATTTGAATTTATGACCAGCTTAAGGTTTTAAAAAAAAGTAACCAGTAATTGTTTTGCATGAATAAAAGAGTTTGATAATGCAGTGTTTCAGTCAGCCTCACCAGGGTCCAGACTTCCTGCTGGCTTTCTAGAAATGAACTCAGCCTTCGTTAATGTTATCAGTTCCACTAGTGCTTTTTCAGCTAAAGCATGTAAAAAAGGCCCGCAGCGATGAGACGTGTGTGCCTCCCAGCTCCGTGGAGCAACAATTAGGAGCAAGCATTTCTCCGTGGTTTGCTCTGTGATTCGTCAAAGTCTCTCATCATGGGCTCCATTTTCTCTAATTACAGAGCCCAGATGAGGCGGAAGTCTCTTTCTCTCTAGATGACATGACTTATATTGTGTTGAAAGAGAAAACAACAGCGGAGTAACAAAAAAAATCCAGCTTAAAAGGAAAATCATTTTAATTTTCAGCGAGGCTAGATAAATCTAGCAGATTTAGAAAGAATTTTAGAAAAAGATGTTGCCCAAATTTGCCAAAAAGGTCAGAGAAAAATTCCCTGTGACAAAAGCGAGTGATTTGGCTTTTGCTACTACTTTTCAAGACTGCAGTTGTTAAACTGATTTGTTTTTCACTCATAAGCCACTGATGCATGGAAAAATGTGCCACGGAGCAATCATTTAATTTTCTTTAAAGCCGGTTCCACCTCAGTGAACTTAGGAGGAAACTAATTAAATGATTGATGATGTTTGTAATGTAGCGTTTTCTCCCCAAGTCGACAGTAAAGTAACAAATAAATGGCCTTGGTGAAAGGTCAGTGAGGTTTTTTTTTATTTTTTAAATTCCTACTAACAGTCATCTGAATTAAATTACATAATGCATTTCAGAATTAATGAACTGTGAAGTTTATTTTTTGAATAATCCCTGTGTTTGAACATCATGTAAAAAGACATAAAGTCCATGTTCAGTGGAGCAACAATAATACTTGCATTTATTTTAGAAACCACAGTTGATGAAATTATGCATTGAATTAATAAATAACAACAGAAAACTTGGTTTTACATTATGTTAACTTTATTTGCATGCATGAAAAATGAGCTGATTTACAAGAGAGGATGAATCACACTGTCCATAATGAATTACCTGTGCCTTCTTTAAAGTCATGGGTTTTGGATTTCTCACCTGCTAAGGTTTTCTTACATACTAAGGTATTACCTTACCATAATAGTCTTATTCTATTCAAGCTAATATGCTACTTTGTACTGTGATAGGGTTCAAGTCAAGAAGCATGTATGTTTTAATCTAATCACATCCAAATAAACAGGTTTAAATATATAATAACCTTCAGGGTAAAACAGAAACATCTGTGAGACATTTGTATGTTTGTTTTTGTATTGTTTTATGAGCACTTCATGCAGACATCCTTACTTTAACCAAAACCAGTTACACTTCATGGCTAATAATCTCAATCCTTACCTTTACTACAATCTCTAGTCTCCTAATAATCTCAATCCTTACCTTTACTAAAATCTCTAGTCTCTTGACTAGTATAATAATTATATTTCAACATGTTGAAAACATGTTATCAAAATCACAGAGAAACAAAGTTCACAGTAACAGACACACTTGGCTGACAAACATCAACAGTGTGCGTGCACTCCTTCCCCTTGTGTATAGTTATAATCAGCCGCACAATGACAATGACAGTTGGTGGGTTATGCAAATGATATGCAAATCAGCAGTTGTGAATTTGTATATAATGATTGCAGTAACGGCCAGATAAGGTGTGCAGACGGCGCTAAGAAAGTGCTTCCTGGTGAATTTATTCAGCGTAATCGACTCGGGTGTCAACTCCTATGTGCTCTTGTTGTTGTGTTTTCCTGTGTGAAGTTGCAGTGAAATGAGTGGCAGCGTATTGTGAATGAGCTGCGCGGGGCAGTCACGCTCTCCCACGGTGTTTTGCATGTTTAAACCAGACGCGCCACATCCTATATCTGAGATGTATTACTCTCATCACAGTACGTACACGGCACCGCCTTTGGTAATCACAGATTTACAATGAGTAAGCATGTTGTAAACATGCAACGAATGCACATCAGTCCATTCATTGTACAGGACTGAGCAGTGAGAGAAATCATGCAGTCCAAAATTGAAATATTGAAGAAAATGTGGGTGTACATATCTATAAATACTCTCTCTCTCTCTCTCTATATATATATATATATACACACAGTATATATATTTACACACATATGTTTTTGTATGCATGTATATGTGTATATATATTGTGTATATATTTACATATAAGTATATACATATAGAATATAATACATAAAAACTTAAAATTTAACAATGACATTTTCTACATTGTAGGTTGGTTTAAACAAACCAACTTATCATCAGTTTTTTTCTAATTCATTATGAACAAACTGTCATTTGCTCTTAAACCTTACAAAGTTCTGCTCCCTACTCATAACATTGAGGCCGTGTTTAACGTCCCTGGTGTCACTTCATTCTACAGCAGCCCTGATGTTTGATCTGAACATTCACTCAAACTCTGCACTGATGACATCATTTTCTGAACCCCATGTGTAGAGGCTTCTGGGAAAAAAGCTCATTGAATGAATACCTGTTCCATTTAAACAATGTTCAATGAGCACAAAGTAGGTTTTTATCAGGCTGTAACTAAGTAACAGCTCCTGCAATAATGCAGAAATTGTTAGTAAAGAGACCCCTGCTGCTTCTCTGAATAAGGTTTGATTGAAGGAAATGTGTAAATGTATTTTTATTTTTTTTGCCTTTTGTACATTGGTAGAATACAGGGATCTTAACCTTTTTGATTGAGGAGCCGATTCAAACATTAACACTGTATTGTTTTGATGTCACTCATGGTTTCGTTTGTATTCAATAATTAAATGAAATCCGCTTCTAGTTTAACACGCGAAAACCTTGCCAAATAAATGACATAATATAATGTTACAGTACTGGTGGACTGTTAGGGTTAGATAATAGATAAATGAATGTTTGGTTTTTGGAGGTGTCAGTTTGGGGCCTTTGTCCTTCAGTCTTCTTTCACAAAGTTGAACTGAATGAGGTCAGGATTGTACCTGGGCTTAATTTGAAGTTTTTGAGTGGTTTAGGTACTCCTGACTTTATGCCAGCAGAGTGTCGTCTTCTGCTTATTGAAGATTCTTAACCATCTGGCCGACAAACGGCGGGAACTGTGTTGTTTCTGAGCATCTCCTTGATAACAGAATAATATCCCTAGTGTCTTTACGAGCCACGGGTTCTAAACTGACATTTTTTAGAGGCCCTCTAAGTGGTGCTTGCGGCCCAACCGAGGACAACTCCCCCATGGTTAGGAATCAATGGTTTAAAGTACACTTAAATGCATAGTATTGTTTTTTTTTTCTTTCATTTTTGAATTCTGCTCAGGTGTTAAAGGTGTTTTGTTTGAGAGAACGACAAAAATACTGCTGTGAAATGTTTTGTTTTGTTGCAAAGACCTGAAAACGTATCGACTTCCTGGAAATCTATATCACTTGATCCTGGCTTTGGGAACCTTGGTGCGGACCGTGATGTTATTGCATGCTTTTTTTTTTTTTAATGTGTGTATACGTCTCATTGGTCTTGGCTGTGTATATTTACATGCCCACCTTGTTTAAATGTGGATCACTTCATGTGTGTTTGTGGGTTGTCAATATCCAGCTTTTGCCTGACCTTGTGGACTTTGGTTTGTCAGCATCAATAAACTTTTCCCATGTGTGTCTGTATTTCAGGTCCAGCAGATTGATCGAGTGGTGGAAGTGGTGGATGAGGCAGTTAAAGGTACTTTAGAACACACGCACACACAGAGAAGCAATAATTGTATGAGTGAATGAGCAGCAACGCATTGATCAGCCAATGAAAGAACAGAGAATCATTTTATTATCGGAACAGGAAATAAAGTTCTTGAGTCAGCTGCATGTATGAATGATTTTCAGTAAAGCTGCCCCTTCACTTATTGACACATTGCACCGACTGTGAATGGCCGTCAATAGCAGGAATATATTGCCTTCCTGTAGGAGAGTACATAATAATCTGGGAATGATGACTGTGAATTATTACCAGTGTTTAAAACCTTTGATTGTCAGGCATTATTGGTTTCGATTGTTCAACGTTCAGACGAGCAGGGTTTTAAATCTGCGTAAATGTCTGTGCGTTAATTTTTATACCCTGTAACAAAACAATACACAGTATGTAACCAGAGGTCAGTGACCGAGGTCAGTAGGATATTTGACACCGTATTGTGGTCGTCAGTTGTTTACCCTGTGTGCTGTAAGAACCACAAAAGACTGAAAGAACCATTTTAACATTTTCTAGGTGAGAGATATTTTAGCTGAAGGTTCTGTGGATTTGATGAACTTACCCCCCACCTGCGCTCCACTCTCCCCCCAACTGCCACCTTGGCTAAGTTCATTTCTGTCGACAAGAAAAGTCTTTGTGTTCTGTTCTTGGTGGTGAAATTGCTTTTCCAATAACAGCGCTACTTGATTTACCACTGTTTTACATGGTGTAAATGAAGGCGAATGTTACAGGGAGGTTAAAAAAAATTGCTCACACACTGAAAACTTTTACTGCCTGACTCTGAGCGAGAAGTGATCAGGAGTGAAGGGTTTCCCACTAAAAAGTGAAGTGTCGTGCTGTTTGATCCTGTCTGTCTCTCCGTCTGAGTGGCCGCTTAAGAGTTGGTCTGTCTGAGAGGCTCGCAGCAGGAAACGCTCACATGGCACTGATTAGGTCATTCATTTAAACTGTTAGTGAACCACAGCACTTAATAGTTTAATGAAGGTCAGAGAGAGAGTTTACAGTGTGAGTG